ACCCGGCGGGGAGGGATGGCAGACAATCTGCGGAGTGCAGAGCCGTCCGTGCCCACGTGGTGCCCAGCTGCAGCCCTCTCGCGTGGGAAGGGGACCGCTGAAGTGGGCTGGCTGAATTTGGGCCCCACCCCCAGCACTGAAGCTGGCAGCTCAGAGGCAAGCCACCTGCCTGTGCCCACGAGGGGGGCAGGGCAGCTGCATGGGGGTTTGGCAGGAGATCCCGGCGGCCGCGTGTGTATCACGTGCACCAGGCGTGGGAGTAAACACCACTGTGTGTCCAAACAGCTCCTGAGCTCCTTTGCTGGGGGCGGGGTGGGGCAGGCAGGCCCGGGGAGCCGGGGGGAGGGGAGATGTGTCCTCCTCCACTTTCCGTGCCACGCGGCAGAGGGATGTGGGCAGGAGAGGCTGGCCGCGGGGTGGTGTGTGTGCCGGTGACGCAATCGGCTCTTCCAGGCTGCGGGATTCCTGTGCGTTAGCAGAGCACCCCCGGAGCACCCGCAATCCGGCCACGCAGCGTCCCGCTGGTGCCAGACTGTCTGGGGAGCTCTGGCCAGCCCCCTCATTGGCCATGAACCCCTATGGGCCAGGTGTCACGTTGCAAATGCGCTCGAAGGTGGCTAAAAACTCCTTTATCGTTGAAGATGGGTCAGATCCTTTCGGGATTCCTGTGCGTTAGCAGAGCACCCCCGGAGCACCCGCAATCCGGCCACGCAGCGTCCCGCTGGTGCCAGACTGTCTGGGGAGCTCTGGCCAGCCCCCTCATTGGCCATGAACCCCTATGGGCCAGGTGTCACGTTGCAAATGCGCTCGAAGGTGGCTAAAAACTCCTTTATCGTTGAAGATGGGTCAGATCCTTTCCCAAAGCTTGTCGGCAAGTGGGGACTGGCTCTCAGGTTGTGGTATCCTTTGTTGCTGTTCCGTTATTCGGAGTTGGGCTGCCAGCTCTTCCATTCGACGTGCGTGGTCCTCTCGACGCAAGTCGGCAAGGGCCCTCTCGTGTTCCAGCTCCACTTTCTGCAATGCCTGCTGCTTTCGAACTTCTTCTGCCACCGCATCTGTAGCATCGGGTGGGGGCCACTCTCTGGCCCTCTGGTCGTTCTGCACTAGCAAAGATATCAACTGCTGCTCAGGAGCTTTTTTCCTAAAGTCAAGGCCTCTCTCTGAGCACAACTCCTTCAAGGACTCTCTGTCCCGACTCTCATATTGTTGCTGACTCATTTCAGCTGCTCTTTACCCAATCAAACTCTCAAAACCAAAAGATCAAATTTAGACAGCGTGGGGTCTGGATCCGAAGCTCGATTGACCAAGATCTGTGGATCCTGCCGACTATGCCACCGTGACAGACCGGGCCAGGTCTGGGCACCACTGAGGGTGTCCGCTCAGGGCAAATTGCTCAAACTCGGGGCTCTCTCTAGCCCCTGACTGGCGGCCCTTCCCAAATAGGCCACAAACCAGTTACACAGAGTGCTTCAGCTGCCAATCTCGAGGAAAACCCCTCAGAGACCCCAGCTCTCTCCATGCCCCAAACAGCCCCGGGCCTGCCCCCAGGTGAAGGGTTATAGGACCCAATCTCACCTACCCCGAACAAGTTCTGTCCGGTTCCAAGAAACCAGCCATTGATCCCAGGTCAATTTACACTCTGGACCTTACCCACAAGACCACACTGAGCCAATCCTTTAGAATCTACCATCTAGAAGTTTATTATTAAAAGAAAGAAAAGCACGAGAGTAAGGTTAAGTGTCATACATTACATGCATCGAATCTCCCAGTTCTCGATGCAGGCTCGCAGCAGCGATGTTATAACTGCTGGCTTAAAAGTCCTTGGTGCACATCCTATGTCGGGAGGGGTCCACAGTTCTTCCCGGCTCGTGATTCCCTGCGAGGCCGCATCTGGGGTCAGGAGCAGATCCGAGCAACCAAGATGGAGTCGGCCACATGGCCTATTTATATCCCCTGCCGCCAGCTTCTTCCAAGCTGGAGAGAGTCACATGGTCAGTGGCCAGGTGTGTCTTTGGCCTGCAGAGGTCCATTGTTCCCTAGAGCTTTGCTCATTAGCATGTCCATGGCAAACATTCCCGGCCCATTGCTCTGCCTCAGACAGAAAGCCTTTCAGCATCCACACAGAGTCCGTATTTATAACGTCACACACCGACATTGTACAGGTATATGAAGAGCACATACAGAATCAGCAGACAATGAGCTTTCATCGGACACCTCACATGGCCCCCTTCGTACCAACGTTTGGGACAAACATCCCCCCCCAGGGGTGCAGCTGTGATCTGGCTGCTCCCCTTAAAATCCAGTAACGTGACACCGGGCCCAAACACCGGGCAGGCTGCGCTTTGTGCTGCCTGGGGGGAGTAGAACATCCGGCCACTTGCACCAAGCAGGCATGAAACCTCGCAAAGCCTTGTCCTGTTTCCGGAGGCAGAATTGCCCTGGCGCCTAGCTGCGATGGTCGAGTCAGGACAGAGGGTGGGGCTGGCCAGCGACCCTCGGAGCTTGCCTCTTTCCTGGGCACATCTCGGCGGGTGGCGAGGAGTCCCGTGGGAGGGGGGCAGCCGAGCGCTGAGGATTCACAGCGTGGACACGGGGGATGGTGAGTCGCTCAGTGCCAACCCTGCCTCAGATTTGCAAGTGACCTTGTGTTCTCCTGCCCCCCAGGCGTGGCGGCACCCGCACCCCGCCTG